AAGAAAACAAATAAAAACACTGTACTGTATGTTTATTTCAAACAAAAGTAGTACTTATTCATTAAATAATAGGAGAACTATTGCAAATGTTAGTTGAGGATTTCTACTAAAAACTCCTATCTACTAAAATGGTTTAGTTGTTTATGATGACTATTTAAAAGCTATAGAGTGGAACACTTGAGCTAGAATTAAAAATAATAATAATAATAATAATGAAAAAAAAAAAGGTGACGCAGTGGCGCAGAAGGTAGTCCTCGGCTCAGTTGGCGTTTCTGTGTGGAGTTTGCATGTTCTCCCTGCGTTCACGTGGGTTTCCTCCGGGTGCTCCGGTTTCCCCCACAGTCCAAAGACATGCGGTACAGGTGAATTTGGTAAGCCAAATTGTCCGTAGTGTATGAGTGTATGCGTGAATGTGTGTGTGAATGTGTGTGTGGAGGTTTCCCAGAGATGGATTGCGGCTAGAAGAGCATCCACTGCGTAAAAATGTACTGGATAAGTTGGCGGTTCATTCCGCTGTGGCGACCCTGGATTAATAAAGGGACTAAGTCGACAAGAAAATGAATGAATGAATGAAAAAAAAAAAATATATATATATATATATATATATATATATATATATATATATATATATATATATATATATATATATAGGTAGCGCTGTCGCCTCACAACAAGAAGGTCGCTGGTTCGGGCCTCAACTGGGTCAGTAACATTCCTATGTGGAGTTTGTATGGTCTTCCCGTGTTTGCTTGGGTTTCCTCCGGGTGCTCCAGTTTCCCCCACAAGTCCAAAGACATGCGGGTATAGGTGAATTGGGTAAGCTAAAATTGTCTGTATAGCCATTGTTGTCTAGATACCCAGAGAAACAGAGGTTTTCTGACAAGATCTGGCGTCTGGAGCTAGGTGTTGTTTATCTGGCATGGAGAGTGTGTTCTGACAGCCCTGACAAAACACTGCAAAACCTTTTTTAAAATGTAAATGCTGGTGCGTTGAACACCCTCTACTGATAACTGTGGCAACTCAGAAGTTCATTCTTTTCATTTTGAAGAATCTTGAGAGCCTTATAGAATCAGTATAAATATGTGTTTAATACTGCAAAATACTCTCAATTTTACAGTCAATTTTACAGCTCTTGCTGTCCAAAATGAATAAATAAATGGTCACACTTTAATTTGATGGTCTGTTTGTTGAGTTTAAGTTGCATTGCATCTTCTTGCCAACTAATTCTCATTAGATTATAAGTAGACTTACTGGGGTTAGGGTTTGTGTAAGTTGACATGTACTTGCAAAGTTTTTTATAGTCAGTTAAATGTCTGTTGAAGAGCAGTATCAACAGATATTAAGCAGACAGTGTACTAATACTCAAATGGACCATCAAAGTAAAGTGTTACTAAATAAAACCTACTTTAACCCATAGTGTGAGCTGGCTCTTCAATACCTCATGGTTTATCTAATGTATGTATACATTTTATATACTTCTGATGCATCCACCATCTTGAGGCCTGTTGCACATCATTTCCAGCCAAAGCCACAATCACACTGCACTTTTTCTCCTATAGACTTTTGTTTATACGCATGTGAATGCAACAGACCTGAAACACAAGCTTATGTGACAAGTTTTGCATATCAATGTATCCGAAAGTTCAGTCTTGGTGAACTCTAAGCAATAAGTGATCAAAATATGACCTCTCTGAACAGAAATTTAAATCATTTTATCATTGTCTAATCACCTTGTTTTATCCTGCCCCATTTCGCATTGCCATGCAACATAATTTTGCATGCTCAAACTGTAGTTTGAATGCAGCTTAACATGTCATTAAACCTGGAAACCGTAGCAAAATGTTGTGCACTAGTTTTAGCTTGAATGATCACCAGGCACCAGTACCACATACCAGTATGTTCATCATCCAGGATGTTGACCTGTGGGCATGACAAAAATAGGTGTAGCTGTCTTGCACTGGAGGTGGTAATATGCAAGTGACTGGTGATAGGTGACATCACCTTGCCCCTTGAGTTCCAGAGCAAGTCTTTTTTATTTTGATTAAATAAAAGCTTTATTAAAAGATGTCTTTAGGTAGGCAACTTGCTGAATGATATAATGATACAAAGACATACCAAAAGATCAAAGTAAATTAGTTTTTTTCATGCCATTACCCATTGAGGACAAAAGAAATATGTACAATAGACTGTAGCTTCAACTTCATATTTCACAATGTGTAATGTATTAACAAACATGAGTGTCATTTATTCCAAATCCTCAGATGGTATAACTACTATATTTACTGGGACTGTTTAAAATATGAACAACTGAAACTAAATGAAAACTGTAGAAAACAACAAATCAAACTGTGACTGAAGCTTCATTCTATTCATTTTAAATGGCAAAACGCAACAGAGTACTAGTCATTGTCTGCTGGCTTTCTCTTTGGGAACACAATGAGGCAGAGTGGGTAAAAATAGAGAGTGTTTACGATCGTCGGAGAAATGGAATGTGCTCATTTAGGCAGGAGAGAATCATTTGAAGAGCACTTACAGCAAAGCAGACAACATTTCCACACTAAAAATGGCTAAAAATGTGAGCTGCTGCATCATTCGTCACAATTTAGTTACTTCACATTGCTGACATGCATCTTAAATGAGGATGTTCTGTATAATCTTTACATGCTGAGTATGTAATAATGTAGAGGGTAATAATCAGTAGAAATTCTATAATAAAATATAATAAAACTCCAACACCACATAATTAAATGGGTTGTAAACATGTAATAGAAGTAAAATCAGTAAGTATCACTCTCATTTTAAAAGTAGGGGGGCATCAAGTATTACTCCTGTTTTATGTCACCAAACACCAAACCTTTTGCTTATGATTATATACCATAGGTCTCAAACTTGATTCCTTGAGGGCAGCAGGTCTACAGTTTTGCTTCAACTCTAATCAAACACAGCTAATCCAAATAATCAAGGTGTTCAAGACTATATAGACTATTCACCTTATTCTCAGCTGTCGAGCGGGCGCTGCCATTTGAATCTTTTTGTCTCGCGACTTCCGGTCACATTCACTTCCATTCATTTTTTGACGTTAACAACTGCTCGTTACGCTGCTTGATGTTGCAATTTGATATTTTCTTATTATATTATGCTTCTTGGTCTGTGTAGTCATGCAAACATTTGTTTGTTGAGCAAGTAGTTTGGCCATTTTCTGCCGTTTATTATTCCTAGTCATTTCTCCCATAGGCGACTGAATCGGAAGTTCTAAGACAATCGCGAAAACAGGCGCACTTCCGCGTTTTAGAATAAGGTCAAAGCAGGTGTGAGTTGGAGGTGGTTGAAGCAAAACTATGCAGAGCTGCGGCTCTCCAGGAATTGAGTTTGAGAACATTGTTATATACAGAAGATTATATACAGAAGATGAAGCTATTATTTCATTCATTCATTTTCTTTTTCGGCTTACTCCCTTTATTAATCTGGGGTCGCCACAGCGGAAATGAACCGCAACCTATGCAGCATAAGTTTTTTACACAGCGGATGCCCTTCCAGCTGCAACCCATCACTGGGAAACACTCATACACTAATTTCACACACATACACCATGGACAATTTTAGCCTACCCAATTCACCTGTACCGCATGTCTTTGAACCCTGAGGAAACCCTTGTGAATGAGGGGAGAACATGCAAACTCTACACAAAAATGCCAACTCATGAGTCATGAGCCCGGTCTGTTCTCTTTATATTCTATCACTCTGTATTGCCTTTTTGCCTCGCAGCTGCAGGTCTTTCCCATTAACTATCATTGCATTAGCACCTGCCGCCACTTGTTGCCTATTAACATCCCTATTTAATCCTCTGTGCTCTCTGTTTCTGTGTCAGATTATTATATCCTTCTAGGAGTATGTAACGCTGTCATTGGATAACTCTCTTACACTCAGCTCTCTGTTGTTCGTCCTGTCTTAGTGAGTCCCGTCTTTCGTGCTATAGTGTTTGTTCTCAGCCCTCACCTGCATTCTACTTTGTCCGGTGGTGACAAGCTCTTCTCCTCAACCTTCTCACCAACCGGCTCTGCGGGCTCCTGTCACCACCAGGACTCTCGTAAGCCATACCAGGTCTGCGCACAGCCTAGGCTCAACGTGCGGCAGCCTGCCTGTGTTCTACTCTGTACCCAATAAACTGTCCTTATTATGCACGCGCCTCTGGTGTATTATCTGATCCGTTACAAACTTACCCAGCCGAGGCTCAAACCATCGCCCTTCTTGCTGTGAGGCGACAGCACTAACTACTGCGCCACTGCGTCAACCAGTCTTTAACATTTCATGCATGAATAAGAATTTACATGGCACTACACATGATTGAAGCATGAACTAACAGCGGAGGCTTTTACTGTAATGAGCTGCGGCTGCTCAGCAGTTAATCTTGGTGGTTCTGGTCAATATCATTTATGGCAGATAAACAGGTGCCTGAATTGTAGGTGGAGTCGCTATGGGTTTTAATCAGTGTATTAGAAGAACAATGAGTCTAGTATGCTATTTTGATCAAATCCAAATGTGTCATTAATTCTTTCAGACAAGCCTTTAATCTAACCACGCTCCATATGCTTCTCTATTGCCATTTCTCTCTTTCAAACTCTGAACAGAGGGCAAGGTGTCCTCTTCCTCTCTAGCCAAGATGACCACAAATGTATGACATCACTGCTTATGCCTTCAGCACGAACCACCGATTTATCATCCTTCCCGCTTTCCAATCCCCTCCTGCTCACCTCAGCTCTCCTTCAATGAGCTTCGCACTCACTCACAATTATCCTGCAAGACCAACTGCAACCCTGCGCTGTTCTCTAGGTCAGTGCTTTCCTACTGATTTTGTTTACAAGACAAAAGCCTGCAATGCATTCACTGGTTTATCAGTGGTCACCTTGGTTTTACAGACGCGCCGAACAGGCTGTAAAACCACAGTTGCAGCACAAAATCATGTTTATCCTCATTGAAAGTGAACATGTATTCATACTCACATAATCATGGAAAGCTTTGGCTTCACTCGAGTGCTCGCATGTTTCTCTCCTCTCTGGAGCAGCACAGTAGAGGTCCCAGAAAACGCTGCCATAAAAGATGTACAACGTAATATAAAAAACGGCTGATTCTGCAGTCTGAGAATGAATGACTGTCCTCGCTTAATTAAAACCCTGTTTGGACGGGAAAGGATTCCCCTGAGGAATTGTTTGTTGCACAGATGTACTTTGAGATTATTATTATTCTGCTAGAATAAGACATTTTTGAGGAGTTTTACATGCAAAACCTTGATGTAAATTAAAAAGCACCTTATGTTCAACCGACTAAGAAAATTAATGTCATCCAAATGCAAATGTCTGTGATTTGCACTGTTATTATATATATTTTATATATATGAGGAATATATTATATATATATATATACATACATTAGTCAAGTAATTAGTCAAGTTATTGTATAACGATGGTTTGTTCTGTAGAATAACGAAAAAAAATTACTTATAGGGGCTAATAATTTTGATCTTAAAATAGGTTTTAAAAAATTAAAACTGCTTTTATTCTAGCCGAAATAAAACAAATAAGACTTTCTCTAGAAGAAAAAATATTATCAGACATACTGTGAAAATGTCTGTACTCTGTTAAACATCATTAAATATTGTATAATTCTGACAAAAAAAATTTAATCAGTACTTCATCCAACTAAAATGTATCTTTTATTTCAGTTTAATATTATTTGTTTTATTTTTCAAGTAATATATTTTAAGTTCAAAACATAGTTAATAATAAATTATTTTGATTAAGAGCTCAACTAAGAAATATGTGTTTTGAACAATCAAAAATTTTAAGGTTACTCACACAGGCCAGTGCATGTGTATTAAACAAACTCAATATGTGTTGTACTTTCATGGACCTTCATGGACCTAAAAAATATTGTTTAAGGCAAATTATGTATTTTTCATTCGCTCAAATGATTAAAATTAGAATTAAATTGGATGAATGAACTTTTTGTGGCAATTGTTATTTTGATTAAAGCTATATATTCTTATTTGGACCAAAACGATAATTTATACTAATTGACTTTCTTTAACATTAACAAATATGCTTTGTACCAAGTTCATGGTACAAAATGTATGGTGGTTTGTACCAAGAACAATATGACATTGTTCTCATGAAGATAGAAAATATTGTTAAAGACAAATTATTTATTTTTAATTGGCACAAGTGATAAAATTTAGAACCATTACCCTATATATATATATTTTTTAATTGGATGAATTAAAAAAAATAATAATTCAGCGTATATTTCTGCCAAAAAACGTATGGGTCAATGTCAAAATTAATTAGACCATTAAACAAGGATCATTTTCCATTAAGATATTTTGCAAATGTCCTTCCATAAATATATATATATATATATATTTAGTAATATGCATTACTGAGGACATAATTTGGACAACTTTACAGGCATTTTTTTTTCTAGAACCCTCAGATTGTCCTAAAAAATGTCCTCTCCTAACAAACCAAACACATCAGTGAAAGCATATGTATTTCATTTTCAATTAATACATTTCAACTGGTTTTATGGTCCAGGGTAATGAATTATATATTTATAACAGGTTTCCAATTCACACAAGTGTTGTTTTTTGTACTTTCTATTAAAAAATTCTATAAATTTTTATGGTTTTATGTGCTGCACACATCCAGACAACTTAACCTGTAGACATTACATCAAGAATACTGTATACTAGGGTTAAATAATATATTGTATGAGCATCAATATTGCAATGTGTGAATCTGCAATAGTCACATCGTGGGATTAGATCATTTATTTAAGATTAAAACATAAATATATTATTATTTATTCATTATTTTATACAAATGATGATCATTTGTTTTTGTATTGCATTTGCTTTTGCTTGTAATTTATTATAATTTATGCAGATGCACTGCATAGAAAAATACTTGATCATCACAGTCGATCTAAATAAATAAAATCTTTATAAATTGAGCTATTCAAATCATCTGGTGAATGATGTTCATATTGCGGGATATATTGCAACAAAACAAGATATCGCAATGTAAGATCGTTCCAATATTATGCAGTCCTATTGTATAAACACTCATGTCTTAAAATTAACTAGAGGTGCCACGCAACTACATATTATAATCGTATCTAAATCAACTCAAATACATTTAAAATATTCATTTTGAAACTTCTGCATACTCTTACCACCACCAGGAGTGCAAGAACCCGGGTGGCTCTCCTAATGTAATGTTTTTCTCCCATCGGATCTGCCAAGCAAAAGAGAGAACAAAGAAAGAGTTATAGAGATTCACTGACAAGTCGACCTGCGCTCCCTTTGTGAGTTAAACATAATTAAGGGCACATTCTGCCATGGAGAGTTGAACTTTGAGTCAAACATGGTGCTCAGAATAAATCTGAGAGATAAAACTGTAACCTGGCATCTGTTTGAAGCACTGTCAGTGTGAACATGTCACAGGAGGAACTGGACAATTTAAAGAAGTGGCTTTACATCAAATAATGCTTTTATATTAACAGATAAATTCTGGAAAAGTGCTGAACACCATCCAAGTACACAGGGCTTCTACTAAGAGCCATTCTGAAAAAGTGGAAAAATGTATTTGCTTTAGTCACGATTGATCAGTAACAGTCATCTGAATATGAAGATCAAAGTATTGGACCTGACGGCACATACAGCTCAGCATATACATAAGTACACCCCTCACAAATCTATCTTTTAAATCATATTTTTAGTAGGAAGCTATACAATATTATATTTGTGCATATACATTAGATTAGTCAGTACTGAAGACAAATCTGGAGCTTATCAAATTAAACAACTTAGTACATCCAAATGTAAATGTTATAGAAAAATATTAAATACAAATTTTTAAAAAAGAATACAAATCAAGAGAATCAAGAAATGGAAACATTTTGTAGAAATTTTGTGGGTTGTAAATGTTTTTTTGAAATATTTAGTTAAATTTAATTGTATTATCCTTCAATTTCTAAATGTTTGGTGACTAAAATATAATTTTAATAAATATAACTGTTTAACGTACTGTACGACATACGTAATTGTAGGCCAAAAATGTCATAATGCTATGTCTGTAAATAAAGGCATATCAGGGTGAATTGATACTTTTTTTCTATGAAATTACATGAGTCAGCTGTATAAAGTAGCTACTGACAGCTTATATGTGGCACACCTCCACAAATCAAAGTCTTCCAGAAAGAAAGACAGAATATATGACCTTTTATGCAATATAATTCCTATTTTCCTACTGTAGGTAGGTAAGGAAGGAAGGAAGGAAGGAAGTAATAGTAATAAATAAATAAAACCAATTTGAAGAAATTAGTTGGAAAAAAAATTAAAATGTATGTGTGTACATTTTCAAATAGAGTATACTTAGTACACCTGTGTATTGAGAAATCAAAGAACAAACTAGGATGAGATCATTTTCAAGAACATCAGGCCAAAGAAAAGTTTGTTTTAGAAGTTTGAAACTAGCTTGCCAACACAAGCTTTTTGTAAATCCTATTTCTGGCCACCTTTGAGCACCTTTGAGCTCTGCCTTTTTGGACTTAGAAATTTCCTCTGTTCAGTCAATTAAATTCCAAAACTGGGAGAAATACAGAAATCTTTATTTATTTATTTTTTTTTGTAGAAATTTAAGTTTGTAATCCTACTTGAAAACACAGTTTTACAGTCTCATGCTACTGTAAAATTATTGGTAATTATTGAGATTCAAACTGTAGGATCACAACCTATTGATACAACCTGCTGTTCAGAAGCTATATACAAAAAAACAAGTTTAAAGCCTCTTGTATACTTTAAACAAAGTCAAAGAATGAACTGAATCATGTCATATCAAATAAAATTTGGCAAAAAGGAAATTTTTTTTCGGCTTAGTCCCTTATTTATCAGGGGTTGCCACAGCGGAATAAACTGCCAACTGATCCAGCATATGTTTTACGCAGCACATACCCTTCCAGCCTCAACCCAGTACTGGGAAACACCCATACACACTCCCATTCACACATGCACTCATACTCTTTGGCCAATTTTGTTTACCCAAATCACCTATACTTCATTGGGCAGCTCAATTATAGGAAAGATCATAATTACAATTATTTTAATAATAATTGTAATCAAGATTATGCAAAACAATTAAAAGTCTAAGTCAAAATTATTCACCCTCCTGTGAATTTTTAAAAATAAATATGTCCTAAATGATGTTAAACAGAGCAGGGAGTTTTACAGTATTCTTCTGGAGAAAGTCTTATTTGTTTTATTTCGGCTAGAATAAAAGATGGTATAATATTTTGAAGCCTATTTTTAGGTCATTATTATTTTTATTATTACAATATATTAGCCCCCTTAAGCAATACTTATTTTTGATTGTCTGCAGAACATTGTCTACTGTTGCAGAATTACCCTAATTAAGTCTTTAAATCGCACTTTAATCTAAATACTTGAAAAGTATGTGGTAAAATATTATGTGCTGTCATCAAAGCAAAGATAAAATAAATGTTATTAGAAATGAGTTATTAAAACTACTATGTTTGGAAATGGGTTGAAAAAAATGTTCTCTCTATAAAACAGAAATTGGGGGGGAAAGGGTCGCTAATAATTCAGCAGGGCTATTATTTCTGACTTCAACAGTATATATACAATTTTTTTTCCCTCCCTGTAAATTCAGAAAGAGAAATGCATACAACAGAATAAAAATAAATAAATACAATCGAATAAAAATATTAAACAAACTGTGCTTTAAGCATCTTCACTGTAAGAAAAAAACTTAATATACAAAATTCCTTCAGTCAAAAGCAGTGAGGGATTTTCTTCTTTTGTTGTTTGATTAATGATAAAACAGTCGGCATCAGGAATATTCTGTGCAGTCATTTTAAGAATAGTGTGGTTCTGGTTTATGGTTTCACTTTCACATGTCTTTTGATTCTCAATTCTTTTGTTTATTACACAAATGCGAGTTAATATGAATAATCACTAAAAACAGCGTTTTGACACAAATTTGCATGTATTTGACCATTAAAGTGCTCACATTAAGATGACTTTAGGTGTGTGTCTCTGAGGCTGAGTGCATTCACACAACAGCATGCGATCTCTTTTAAAAACATGAATAATTTGAATCCACATCAATGAATGATGCGGATCGCATGCTGCAAAAGTTACATTACAGTACATGCTTTTGGTCATTTTCACGTGAAACCGAGCTTTGCAGAGCAACAAATGTGTACATCTGAAAAGGGGGCGGTATATGATGCAATAATCATTTGATCTTGATTAATGTTTTTTCATAATCTTTAGAAGCCAAAATCGAAACCGAATTTTGCACAACCCTAATATCGCATGTGTGTCTTTGGACTGTGGGGAAAATCGGAGTACCTGGAGGAAATTCACACCAACACAGGGGAAGCTCATTTTTGGGGGACATCATTTTGGCTTCTAAACATCTTTGAGCTACCATTGGGTCTATGATGATGATGATGATAATTTGGGTTACAAAGTATTCCTGAGTGATTTAACAAAATAATTACTAATTTTGAAAGTATGTATTTTGTAATCTGCAGTGAAATACATTTTAAAAGTAATATATTTATTTTAATCTAAACACTACACTCAACACAGCAGCCATAACAACATCAGATTGTCCACTAACACTTTTCCCTCTATAAAAGTATGTCTAACTGTTTTTGCTCCTAATCAAAAAACAAACATACAAAAAATACATGAGTATATTGCAGCCTTAAACTGGACTTATTATAACCATTTTTTACATAATGTAAAATAAGTCGCTGGTGTCCCCACAGTGTGTATGTGAAGTTTCAGCTCAAAATACAGCACAAATAATTTTTTTTATATGAATACATCCCACAAGTGTCAACTACTGGCCAACTCAGGCCAAATGTGTCAGAGAAGCTACGTTTTTTTTGCTGTTTTTTTGCAGTTTCACACCCAGCCGACATTTTTTTAAAAATCAATCCAGAAAAAGAAAAGCCCTCACCTGATTTTTACCATGTTTTAAGATTTTACCACATTCTCGCCCCGTAGAGTTTATTTTAAGGATAAAAAGCAGCCATGCATACTTCTGGCTACATAATTTGCGATCTCCAGAAATATATATAGGGCTACATTTTCAGAATGAGCCTATGTTGGTATGGTGAAACATCTGAATGGGTTTAAATGAAGTGGCGCAAACCCCTGAGCAAGGGTATGTTCATGTACACTCTAGTTAACTTGATAAAGTGGAACACACTTTAAAATGGCAGTAGGGATTCTCCTGAGATCCCAAAAGTGAAGAGAGGTTTGCAAGTGGGTGTCTAAAAGTAAACTGGAAAACAGCCATAACTTACACAGTTTAATCTAATGGTGGACAAATGCTTCTCACTCAGGGCTGTTTATGCTAATGAGGGAGAGATCGTCAGTAATGGGTGGGACTTTCCCCCTCTGATGACATGTACAGAGAGAGAACTTTAATCAAAGTGTTTCTGCAGACTGTTTTTATCAGAAGGGAACATAAAATAAATATAATTAATACAATTTTACCATTAGGCCGGCTATATTCACACACTGCTGCCACACAACTGTTTAAATTGTTATTTTTGCACAATAGGTCTCCTTCAAGTGGTGGTGTCTGAACTGAAGTAGCCTGTACTTTGGCCAAAAACCTTCCACACTTTTAACTCTTCCTCAAAAGACTAAACAGGAAAAGAAAAACACCATCCATCTTGATGAGATCATCAGTTTTCGTCAGTGGCCACGTGAGATGAGTTTACAGACATTAAAGTGCTGACGACAGCCGCCATAAACAACACGGGTGTGCCCAACATTATCTCAATCCACTGCTGCGAGAGCCACGGCTATTTTTGGGTTCGAGTCCAGTGTGAACTGGTTACATGAGCAGGGTGGCAAAAGACAGGAGTCACAGAGGAAACTGGCCACAATGGACGGGGCGGGCGGCTTAGTCACAGACGCTGGTCAGAGTCACGACAGCACTGTCTGGATTGTTGTTTTTTTCAGCTGTTGTGTTTTTTCCTCTGTGATTGTGCCAGTCTCTTTCTCCCTCTCTCTGTGTTCTCTTCCAGTATTTATCTGATCTTATTCCTTTGACATTCACAAATATTTACTTGAGTCTAAGCTACAGCACTCATCTGCATCTGCATTTACTTTTACTGTTCAGTTGTATCTTGTCAGCGATCCTGTTTGTCAGTAAGCGAGCTGTCGCGGACACAGATATAAACATCTCTTTCCCAAACACAGCGCGAGAGAACGACAAGCTATTAACAAAGGGTGCTCTGTTACAAGCCCTTCAGAAGAGAGGTAAAACATATTGCTTGCTGATGGATGAATTGTGTTTGCAATGCAAACGGGTCTGGAAATGTCCGATCTTTGTATTAGGTCATCCAAAGGCCTTTCACAACCAGCTATCATCAACAAAGACTTCATGAATGTGGAAAAACACATTGATTTTCAGAGTGAACACGAAGTACTATTATAATCTGTGTAAATGAGCATACTCCCTGCTGCATCTGCATGCTGTTTAACAAATGGTTTGCCTAGTTTTTATGCCAAGATGATTTTGTTTCCATTGTAATTAAATTAAGCTGTGATCAGAGAACAGTCAGGATTTAATTGGAACAGTGTTGAAAGCCTTAAAAATATATATTTTGTTTCACCTTAAAAGAACATTCCACCTTTTTAGAAAATAGGCTCATTTAAATAGGCTCAAAACTTCCTCATTTTGCATGTTCACGTGAAGGAGAATTCCACTGAGTGGTACAGTACGGTTTGGTATGCTTTTATGGTCGTTTCCACTGTCAAAAGGCACCTAACAGCAAACCATACCGTACAACTTTTTGGGTACCCTTTACAAAGGGTACTTAGCACAACAAAAGGCGGAGCTAGACGCGCAGCTGAACAATATTGGTTTACAGAGATATAACACTCACTCTTGCAACAAGCCAAAATGAAAACAAAGGAACCACCATGTTTTAAATACACAGCCGATATATTAGACCAAAATAATATATACATATAATAACGAGGCATGGTCAAACAAATGTTGTCATCTTGATGAACAGCCACAAAGCTAAGAAGAAGAGCAGAATCTGCTCTGTGCCCTGTAGTTGTTTACAAGGTGGTCTGAAGCGCAAGCAGTTTCGCTTCCTGGCTTGTGCTATATTTGAAGTAACAAACTTTTTGTTGGACAATGGACAAACGAGAGACTGATGTGCAAAAAAAACAAAGGGGAAGCCGGAAAAAACAAAGGAGCAAATGATTCTCTCAGCAACCTAAAAGATTAACAAATTGCCATGTTTAACTACTATCATCACCTTTTGCACTATTATGAACTCAGAATAACGGATTTACTCGGTTATGATTGTCTGTTCTTGTATGAGCACTGTCCTGGTTGCGCTCAGACCATGCGCAACCAGGTCCGGACATGGTCTGGATGCGCGTTCTGGTCCTGGTGTCTGTGTTTGTTTTGTCTGCAGCGTGATGTTCATTCTCAGCGTCTCAATCTAATTGGTGTTAGATTGCACTGAGAGGGAACATTTACATTGCATATGTGAGCGCACGGTAAGTATCTTTTTTTTTATCGTGTGCTTGTGTCTTGCGTTCTGTTGTGTTTGTGTTTAGTAGCACATGGTTTCATGTTTACATTCTAACCACATGCTTTAGTGTCCTGTGTCATGTGAGCACGCTGTCAGTGAGCTCTCTCATTGGCTGCGTGTTCTAGTCCTGTTTGTATGTGAGCACATGGTTTGCGTTTGTGTTTTTGTACCATGTGTTCTTTTGTCTAGCATCTTGTCCCACCCACCTTGTTAAGCTGCGGTCACATTAGAGTTTGAGCATGCAATATTAAACAAGTTTATTAGACATTTAAAAGAGCGAGCGACTGCTCCATGTTTTAAATTTCTGTTCAGAGAGGTCATGTTTTGATCCTCGATTGGTCTCACGCAGTCAAGTGAGGTGATTTCGCAGGTCATAGTTCACCAAGCTTGAACTTTGCACTGCAGCAACCTGCGAAACTTAACGCATGACCCTGCGTTTCCGGTCTGACGCATTCGCGAATGGAACTGAAGTCTATGGGAGGAAAAGCCCAGTGTGATGGCAGCTTTATCCTGTTTGTAATTATTATTTTCACCTGTACGACTGTCTGTTCATTGGTTTGTCTTCCCTATTTATTCTCCTTGTGTATTCTGTACTGTGCTGGTCTGTAATTGGTAACATATCGGAGACTGTAAGGCAGGGGTCTCAAACTCGCGGCCCGCGGGCCATTTGCGGCCCTCAGTGCAATATTTTGTGGCCCGCGCCGACCGCTGTACACTGACAGAGTCAGCGGAGCGGGGAGAGAGAGCGCTCCCCGCTCCGCTGATTCTATCCGTACACAGCGCGCTTGTCACTCAATGCACGGTCGTGCGCGTTCTGATCAGCGGTGTTATCGCGCGCCTACTGAAGGGCGGGACCGAGGGTGTGTCGCGTCGCGGGGGCACTTTTGATCATTTTGGAAGGGCACTTTCTATGCAAGACTAAAAAGGGCATGTGCTCTGCACAGGTTGAGCCCTATGTGTGCACGTGCCTGAGATTGTGTTGATATTATAGGTAGATACAGACTGGTACAGACTGATGTGACTGGAGTGGGGTGGGGGTGTTTTATTTATACATATATACGCCTTTTTTTTAGGCGAGGGAATAGAAGTTTTGAGTGAGTTCCCCCACTTTTTTCCCTAGGACTTCAATAAGTCAAAGTACAGGTCTAGACTTAATGATGATCATCTTCAAGCCATAATGAGGGTCTCAACTGCTTCCGCTCTAAAGACAAATGTGGTTCAGATTTGTGAGAAGAAGCGCTGTCAAGTCTCTGGCAGCAAGAAGTAGGCAAAAGATGCCATGTTCAGAAGAACTGTTCATAATCTTCACTCAATGTTCTATTAATGTTCAGGACACTTCATGTTCAGAAGAAATAATTAAAACTGTTAATAATGACATTTGAGGACTTTTTTTGTGAAATCCTTTATGCGGCCCAGCCTCACCCAGACTTTGCCTTCTGCGGCCCCCAGGTAAATTGAGTTTGAGACCCCTGCTGTAAGGGGTTGTATGTGTTCATTTACAATTAAAGTCAGAATTGTTAGTTCTTTTAGCTTAGCATACACCATCAACTTGGATTTGACCATTAGCTTATCACTTAAAAATAACCAGAGTTTTAATAATTTTCTTAAAAAATGCTTGACTCTTTTGTAGTTATAGTAAGTACTTAGTCTGATGAAAAATGAAAGGTTGCTGTAAGGAATATTAGGGCCGTTTACTGCCTGTAGCAGGTGCAATGATATAACGCAGCACCTGAAAATAGTTCTAAATCATCTTTCTCTTCATGGCTGCAATCTTTCTAGTCACTATGTAATATCATTGCTCCTGCTTCAGCCATGGTACAGCCTCAATATTCCCTGTTTAAGATGCTTTTCATTAAGTGTTTTTTAAACACTGCCTGAACTGATTACATCCTAAAGAGGTCCAACAAGTATTTTTCTGTGTGTATATTAGCATACACAAAGTCAAATGCACAATCAGTACAGTTTATAGCATGCGCAAACACACATCTGACACAAGCACTGTCTATGTGTTTTATCTCTAAAAGTTATGAGCAACAACAATGTTTTTGCACTCATTTGAAACAGAGTTAAACTTCTCACTTAATGATCTCATATTTGTCAACAGTTTTTTTTTTTTTTTGTAATAAGGGTAACACTTTAGTTTACTTACCAATTCCTACTATGAACTACTGGCTTATTTCCTGCTTATTAATTTTTTATATTAGTACTTAAATACTATGCTCTTATTCTACATCCCTAATCTTACCTAATCCCTAAACCCAACTACTAATGGTTTTGGGGATAAGGGAATAAGGACTTGTACCTTAAAATAAAGTGTGTCCAGTCTAATTAGCTCCAAAACAAGATTGTTTGCACAGTCAAAGTTGCATACTGTTCTGATGACAAAATACACATCATGGATACTGTACACCAGGACTGCACGATATTGGAAAAATCTGATATTGTAATATTTGGTCTTTCTGCAATACAGTTTCACAAGATAGTTTGAATAGCACTGTTTGATGGTTTTTCTGGGGAGTCTAACAGTATTCTGGTACAGAAATTGAAAAATCACTATGCAAATAGATGCTTTTCCTACTCTGCTTTGTCTTGTTTCTAGTCCAAATATAAAAAAATGACAAAAGTAAAAAAATATTGTTTTGCTTTTTAGCTTCAGAAGAAATACGTTGAAATTAAGAGTTTTTCGTGAAAACAAGTAAAATTATCCAAAATTATAAAAGTAAAATGTCTTGTTTTTTTTCCTTAAAATGTTGATATTTGGACAAAAAGATAAAAGAAAAATATCTAAGTAAAAGCATTTTTTTTTTTGCATAAATTGTATACATTTTATATAAATACAACAATTAAATGCAATTCTGTCGCTCCAGGTCAACTATAAATTAGACTCAACATTGCATACCTTGCAATTTGACTTTTGTAAATGTGCACATTTCAATAATGATGTTGAAATGATATACTGTGCAGCCTTGCTGTACAACCTTGACCATCACATACACATACAAACTTATGCTTATTGAAAATGCAGTTCACCCACCTCTGACAAAAATGTCTGTGCTGATTTTTGAGCTCCCACATGCAGCAGATATTCATAGACATACAGAGCTAACCTGCAGAGACAGAAAGATTAGAAACATGAGGAGAGAGTGAACTTTTTTTTATCATCATTTAATTTACCGTTTTTTTGTTTCTCTTCATTGTGCCTTTCTTTTAATACATCTAAAAAAAGACATGCCAGAGAAAACATGTTCATTGTCTATTCTTCTTTTTATTGTTATTATTATTAATTTTATTATATATATATATATATTTCAAAATTTATATATAAATATATATATAAATAATGTTTTTAATTATTAGTGTTGCAGACAATCTCATACTTAAAAACAATGTCTGAAATTTTGTTCCATCCTGTTTATAACCTCTTGGCTATATGCATCACTTGACATAATTTTCAAAACCGCTGCAACCAGCGAGAATCACATTGAGCTGAGTTTTAAGGAATATTTATGTATTGCAATGCAAAAATTGTGTGAACATGCAACATACCATAACATACACTACATGACAAAAGTCTTGTTGCCTATTCAAGTTTTAGAAACAACAAATAATAACTTAACCTCTGGTTGATCATTTGGTATCAGAAGTGGCTTATATGAAAGGCAAAGGCCTCTAGATTACACTTTTTTTACTAAAATAAAATCTGATCATGCCTTGATTTGTTATTATTTAATTAGGACAGCAAGGTCTGACTTTGCTTTGACAAAAGTCTTATCACCTAACATAAATAATGTACAGCAAAAAATATAAAGTAATGCAGCAGTGGAAAAAGAATTAATATTGTGTATGAGCTTGGAGGACTGCATCCATACCTCTCTGCAATGACTCAAATAACTTATTAATAAATTCATCTGGAATGTCAAAGAAAGCGCTCTTGCAGGACTCCTGATGTTCATCAATATTCTCTATATTAATCTTTAGCGACTTCTCCATCTTCCCCCAGACATGCTCAATAATGTTCATGTCTGGTGACTGGGCTGGCCAATCCTGGAGCACCTTGACCTTCTTTGCTTTCAGGAACTTTGATGTGGAGCCTAAATCAGAGGAGCAGCATTATCCTGCTGAACAATTAGCCCTATCCTGTGGTTTGTAATGTAATGGGCAACACAAATGTCTTGATACCTCAGGCTATTGATGTTGTGAAGATCTCTCGCACGCCCCCATACTGACTGTAATGCCAAACCATGATTTTTCCTTCACCAAACTTGACTGATTTCAGTGAGAAACCTGGGTCCATGCGGGTTCCAAAAGGTCTTCTGCAGTATTCGTGATGATTGCGATGCATTTCCAGATGATTCATCGAAAAAAATCTAACTTCTGCCATTTTTCCAAATAATCAACAAGAAGTCAAGTTATTATTTGTTGCTCTTACAATTGGCATCGACGACAAGACTTTTGTCAGGTAGTGTATAATTAGTATAATATAATTTATACTATAAGGATACGAAAATAAAATACAAGTCTTGTTCATGTATCAATGAGTGCTTATGGTTTCACTTATTTTGAAGAACACTGTACTAACTAAAAGCGCATGAAATGAAACAGATTTTACAAGTCATTCCCATGGCATCACCAAAATCTGACCTTCAAGTTTAACTGAGCACTATTAAACTCAGATATCCCCACCTCTATCTTGGATGAAACTGGAATAAAATTGCAATATTGTGCATATTGTGATACACTTCACCTTATGAAGACAATTTCACTCTTATCTCATGACTTTGACAGCTTATTTTAAATGCCCAGTTGAAATGTGTGTGTGTGTGTGTGTGTGTGTGTGCACAATGTGAAAAGCATTTTAATAGGTTTCTATTTAAACAAGTTTAACAGCATTGAGCACACTAGCACTGAACACAATGAGCACAGAACACATTCATCAAGTTCAATGGTGAATCAATTTATTACAAAACACTGGATACCTGAACATGATGTAAACTAGATATTTACTATATTAACAGATTCAGCATCATACAGAGTGTTTTTCAAAAGTGATAAGTGAGCCACTCAGTTGGTGAAATCATGCTGACAGCTTTAGATATTATAGAAGAAGCACACTTTATTTGCTTTTGGTTTATAATTCAACCCATTTTTAATGTTGTATTCGTTATGGCACTACACTTTCTGACAGAAGTCTTGTCGCCTGTCCAAGTTTTAGGAACAACAAATTAGAACTTGACTTCTAGTTGATCATTTGGTATCAGAAGTGGCTTAAACAAAAGGCAAAGGCCTCTAGATTATGCTTATTTTAATTAGTTTATAATTTTTCCAAATGATCAACAAGAAGTCATGCTATTATTTGTTGCTCTTACAACTGGGATCGACGACAAGACTTTTGTCAGGTAGTGTAGATCCACAGTGTCTGGATGCTGTCATTATGATGCAATCTCAGAGATGCAATATCGGACACAATGCACTCAATGGAGCTATGATGTCACTGTGAGAGGATAGGGTTAGGGGTGGGGTTAGGTTGGGTGAGCCTATTAAAAAGCATTGCATGCCGCTCAGATTGCACTGCACCAAGTCAGCAACCAGACCCCTCTCCAATAGATACACTCTGCAAAGTATCTGAATTAGAATTCATAATAATTTAACGCATGAAATAATAAAATAAACTTAGTGACTGAAAGAAATAAGCATGACAACAGACAGTACAAAAAAGGTAGTGCAATATACAGTATATCCAGCAGGAAACGTAAATATTTGACGTTTTGTCAGTTTAGTGGCTCAGTGATATGAAAGTCTGTTGTATGAAAATGTAAGGTTTTTAAAAGGAGGCGTGGCATTAAACCTATACCTGTCAACATTAGGATGTGAAAATAAGGGATTTGCCCACCATAATAAGAGACCCCACCAACCCCCCAACCCCTCCTCCTCCTCTAAAAAATCCCCAAATTACTAAATATGTTCATTTGGAGCTGTTTTATTGTGAATAAACAGTTAAATGGTCAGTAATATGTTTTATTATTATTATTTACAAAAGAAAAAAATAAGCATATACATTAGCAAACAGTTCAGCTTATTAAAATTAATAGCTGTTATAATGAAATAGAATCAAGCTATCAAATCTCATTAGCCGTTTCTTCACTCAATAACTTACACATTCTGATTAAAGAGCAACCAATGAATCTCTTATTTATTTAGATTTTTTTCGTTTGATTAGGTGTCACTTTAAAAATGCACACATTTAACCTTATAATGAAGGCATTCGACTGCTTTCCTAACTTTTTATGCTCTTTTAAGACGAAATTGGATGTGTTTGAAAAAAAAAAAAAAACTCAGCAAGATCAACACCTTTAGATATTATTATTCATTATGTGTATATGTCTGTTCAGACACACACCCAGACTTTCGCTCCGCTTCAAATGGCGTGTACAGAATCTGTTTGGGAAACAGCATCTATTTATCACTATGCAGCGCGTCAGCTGACAGTCATGCACCATTATATGACTGTTTTGAGGATTGCATAGGAGGGGTGATGGCACCTGTCATGAAAAGGAAGGAGAATCGCGCCATTTTTGTATTTATTTCAAAGTGTTTTCGTCCCTAAACAAAGCGAAAGCACAGAACAGAATCACAGACCCCTGGTGGTTCGGCGGAATGAGTTGTGTATAGGGAAGCTCGGCTCTTTAATGTTTCTTGCCACTCTTCAGACAAAGACTAAAAATACGGGAGAAATACGGGAAAATACCTTTACGGGATGATAGCGGGATAGAACTATAAAATACGGGAGAATGCCAGGAAAAACGGGTGGGTTGACAGGTATGCCCTAAACCCAACTGTCATTGGGGGATGAGCAAATCCTATTCAATTGTACGAATGAGATGGTACAAATTCATACAAATTATCCACTAAATCAAAAAGTTACGAATTGCAGTGAGATAGATCTGTGAATTAGAGTTTAAATTAAAACGTAAAAATCTGTCACTCTTTTGTTTATCCTAGAACTTGCACAGTTGCACAGTCTCTTGTTATTGGTCTACAGTGCAGTGCAGTGTGTTCCTGAAACGAAATGCCCACCACCATTACTGGAATACAGCTCAAATGTAGAAACAAGCAGCCATTTTATGTATGTGAATCCAGTGCAGGGATAAATAAAGCACTACTATTTGTACACCAGAGTATTCCATCATTCTTTCTCATAAAATAATATTTTTCTTTGAATTAATTACAATAACAAACATTTAGTATTAATCAAAAGATTTTTGTGGCACAAATTTACAAATATTTTGAACTTTGACAGTGGCTTGCGCAAACGATAAGGTGTGCTCTGCTACTGTATCTAAGCTGCTTTTAGTCAGTAAAAACCCCTATTATGCATTATGCAAAGTCATATTTTGGTTTTGGGTGCCTCCAACAACAGGCTGATATGCATGCAAGGTGAAAAAAAAAACTTCTTGCATTGTCTTGTAATCTGCTTTTATTTTAACCTAATTATCCCAACGACTCCCATGATTCCTTCAATTCTTCCTAAACCCCTCCTTTGCATGAGGCTAATCTGCACTGATTGGTCCGATGACCCAGTCTGTTGTGATTGACCGAGTTCAGCACACGACAGAGAGAAACACCCAACACAGCTATGAAGTAGCATAGAGTATGTGAGAGCCAAATGCGAGATGCAATAAAGCAGTGCAGCTACACACCAGCATATTACTCTATTCTTAACCCTAACCCCAAGTAATAACAATAACACATATTCAGTATTAATCCACACAGTGGCAAAAGTTGAACTGTTTTCAAAATTGAGCGCATTGCACATTTGAGAAACAGCTGATGGTGGCCATAGCAAAGACAAACGGCAGAGGATCTCGAGTACAGAAGCCCATTAGAATCGCTAAAGGAAGAAGCACACATCTTGTTTTCAATGTGGTTTGGACACAATATATGAATAGCCTCATGAAGGTTTAACCTGAGAGATGCATTACAAGCACTGATCTATAATAGATAAGTGATTACAAGCCTCGCAAAGCGATTACAAGTTACAACTCACTATTAAACACATATTTTGCAAGTTAGAGAAAACACTTACATGTTCTGATACAGGGGATGAAAA